TATTGTTTATCAGATTGATGTACAATGATATAGATTGCCAATGTTTAAGTGTGAAGTATGAATGTATAATCAACTAGACGTGCAATGTACTTGTGTAGCTGACACTGTCTATCAAATATAGTGCAGATGTGAAGGCAAACTATATATAAATATTTGTAGATGTAAATGTTTGCATGGATTTAATTGGATAAATCTCTAGAAGCTTTTTTTTTTGCTATACTGTCGATTTTCTATATTTTATATTTATTCATTTTATAACATGTGTTTTATCTGTTTCCTATCAAATAAATGATATTTAAGGAATGCTTACTTATCACTGTTATGTTTGTGAGCGGTATTTGAAACGCCGCAAAATACGTTTGGTAGCAACATGGGATAGAGTATAACAGCAACATGAGATAGAGTATAACAGCAACATGGGATAGAGTATAACAGCAACATGGGATAGAGTATAACAGCAACATGGGATAGAGTATAACAGCAATATACAATGTTTGCATCTGATAGAATTATACTGGCGTATTGCTATTTTTCCTTCAGCAACACTTTACAAGTTCCAAGTAAATACGTACGGTTTTGTATCTACAAATACCTATGTTATGCAGGCGTAGTGTGAGTTTATAAGTATCAACTCTCCTAATTTAAGTTTTCAAATAAGCGCAAACCAGTGAAATAAATGTTCTTGCAATATTTGTAGTATTATTTCGTCATGTTAAAACTATTCCATATTACGGAACGCCTACCTGGTTCCGAGATCATGAAACAATCTTGGGTTTAATATTATCTTACGTTTGGTTGAACCTGTCAAAAATAACGTCACGAGATGTGACGTCATATTTAATTGGCTAAACACTAATTAAGTCTAAGATGCTTCCTGATCTAAAGGTCACATTTTGGGAACTTGTACATTTCCAAACATTAGTAAATATAGTATAAAAATGGATTGTGTGATACCAGTTTGGAGTTTGTTTGCTTTAAACAGTTATGTTTTTTCAAAGATAACTATGGCATCATGATACAATTCTGATTATGTTATGTATACATAGCCTTTATTCCATTCTCGGTGACATTTTCGGGGAGCACTCGGTTTAATTGATTTTCTTGTTTATATGGTGGCTTTCATATGACATTTCGTCCGAGAAAATACGCCAAGCGACAAAAAGAAATAACGAAAAGATGAAATGTCATATATAAGCCACCATGTGTTTGATTGCTATCATGTATGTATCCCTCTCTATCAGATCAAACTCCCCACCCGTCAGACATTTCAGTAATGTCTACCATGTATATTTTCTCATCATGTCTAATCATCCAATATCCCTACCCCCATACCCTCTCCCCACCCCCGGCTCCCCTTATATCTGATAATCAAACATGTACTCCAAAAATATACAATATCTATTACCTACCACCGGATGTATTTCCCCAATAATGTCCTATTTAAGCTCATACCCTCCCCAAACGCACACCCCTGATATGTTTTTGAACTGGCACTTTTAAATAACTCTGTTATAAATAAACAAATAAAACGAGACAAAACAATTACAATTATGTCCTTTATATAAATAGGACTAAATGATTTATAATGAGAACAAACGTACTACACTGTACATGACAAAATGCAAAAACAGGGCTAAAAATGCAATTCTGAGGGTAAAATCGTTAAAATGCAGGTTAAGAAACATCAGTGCAATACCCAATACATGAAAATATGCAAAAACAGGCATACAAATGCAATTATTAGGGTAAAGCCATCAAAAAGTAGGATCAGACACATCAATGCACTACCCAATACAGTAAAACCCCACTTCCCCGAACTCGGTTAACTCGAATACCCCTCATTCGTCGGATAGTTTGTTTGGTCCCAACCAAGTTCGTACATATTCTTTGTAAAGTTTTTCCGGACCTGGCGTCTTTTTGCGGCCGACAAAGCAAAAAGATGAACTGTCATATATAAGCCCCCATATATCTGATAAACCTCCTCGGATACCAGATGCTTCAGTAACGGCTACCATGTATGGTTTACCTTCATGTCTTACAACAGTCCCCCCCCCCCCCTACCACCACCACCACCACCACCAGGTGTAATAAGTCACCTTGACAACTGTACATGTAATTGCTCAATAAACGATAAAATATTTCTACATATGATAATTAACATTAATTTCAAGAGGCACACAACAATGTTTTGTGTATCACTGGATACCTTTTATAGTCCTCTTCTCTTACGAAATACGCACACACAAGAATACAAAATAAGACAATAGATACAATCTATTACATCTACAGCTTCATTGTTGATTGTTTAATTAAACCGATTAAAATGTTAGCAATTCGTTGGATTTTAGTACACACATCAAAGCAGAGTCAGCCGGAAAGCACTTTAAAGAGATTTGGTATTTCAACATTTCAAATTCAGCCCGTGTGGACTCATGGTGTTCAGCTTCGCTATCCAGCTTGTTTCTTTTCTGGAAAGTTCCTTTGGCACCGAACTTTTATCAATGGCAATAACCTTCATGTGATCCTCCCATAAATGGCCCTCTTTCTCGAAATGTTTACCTACTGCTGTTTCCTGCTTTCGTCGCTTGTGTTCTGGAATCCTGACATTGAGTTTTCTTTCGGTCTTTCCGGCATACTGCTTTTTACACCTAACACAAGTGATGAGGTATATTACATTGGCTGATTTACACGACAGAGAATGTTCTATAGGGTACCTCTTTCCATTGTCTACAGATTTAAAGTAAGCCCCTGTCTCGGTGTGCGGGCAGATTTTGCAATCCATATCTCTACATTTCCAAAATCATGGGATGGTCAGTTCACTCAGGTTTTTTTTGATAGCATCAAGCTTGATCGGCGGCATGATCAAGAGAGATGGGGCCAGAAATGGAGGAATGTCTATATTGTGAATCAGGATTTCTGATCTCGACGATAAAGTTTCCCTGTACGTTTGTATTCGCTCTGTCAATTCATCAACGTTGTTGTTTAGTTCGGCTCTGTAATTGTTCAGTTGTTTGTTAGTACCTGAATTTTTCTAAATCCTGTGTTTTTAAGCGAAGTTCAAGTAAAAGATCATCATCAGTGGCCAAAATCTTTTGTTTGTCATCGGTCGATTTTATTTCTTTTCGAAGGAAAGGGATATTCTTGTTTTCAACATGATCGATGAACTCCTCAATCGTTTTCGATTGCTTCTGAATGATGACCGACTGTGTATGGTCATGGTCGAGTAACCTCTCACAGTCAAAACAAATGTATCGCTTACGGACAACGCACCAAAACAACTTCTTGTGTTTCACACATTCTTTTACATTCAAGTTTTCAAGTTGTGTTGCATTGGCCGCCATCTCACGCGTGTTTGTTTATCAACTCGATTTGTTTAATATCTCTTTACAATTTTATATGATAATGCATACAGAGATTTTGAACATTCGCCTGCTAAGGTATAGTACCACTGTTGACTTCTAACATATCTAGACCGTGATATGTATGGATCGGTGATAGCGTCTGTTCTGCAAATACACAATTTATATTACATATAAGTCACTAAATAAATCGCTGTACAAATCAATCACTTTGTTAGGTGCGGTCCGTATCAACGTCCGTTTTATGTATTTACATACATATAAACCTGCGTGAAGTTCATCCGGGTTAGCACATGAACAGTAGAAGTAACACAGTCACCACAGCATCACCATCCCTGGTAATATTCACACCAGTAATCAACCCTTTACTGGTATGTCTGTGGACGAGTATATATCCCAAAACATCATCAGATAACGATATTACGTGAACATATTGTAGCTATTTCATTGGCTCAATGAAATCAGCTGACATTGCAATGTACACCGTGTTTCTATTTCCTGTTCTATAAAACATGTACTTCGATGTATTGTCAAACACAACTTGAATAAAACAAAGTTTAAACCAAACATGGCAATTGTATACTTTGTTTACGTTCGTTCTACGTCATCATAATTTTACGGTAGGAGGATACATCAGCAAAGAAGAAATAAATAAAGTCTAACCTCAACCTGTCAATTGTCATTATTTCACAGATATACATCTACTTAACTCTTTAGATATTAACATAGAAAAGTCAGTTTAAATAAAAAAAAATCTACGACTTTCCCAACTGACATTCTATCTTCATAACAGCAATCTATGGGTCTGATAGCATTATACTGGCGTATTGCTATTTTTCCTTCGGCAACATTTTACAAGTTCCAAGTAAATACATACGGTTTTAGTATAAAACCGTCAGGTAAAGAAATAAGATTATTATACATCCATATTACGGAACGTCTACCTGGTTCCGAGATCATGAAACGATCTTGGGTTTAAATTTGTCATAAGTCTGGTTAAACCTGTCACAAATAACCTCACGCGACTTGACGTCATACGTAATTGGCTAAGTAAAACATAAGTCTAAGATTATTCTTGATCCAAAGGTCACTTTTTAGGTCAAAATTATGTTGTCCAGGTGAAATCTTCAGACTTGCTGAAGATGACTGGACGATATTTATTTATTTTCATATGCGGTATGGCAAGACGTAATGCAGCGTACCATGTTGGGACCCGTGCGTCCAAGGTCATTGTCAAGTTAAGTTCAAAGGTCAGATTGTTTGTTCAAGTCTGAAATTGTAAATCTCCAAAAATAAGTAAATGTGAAATGAAAAAACAGCTTGTTGCATGCTATTTTGGAGTTTATTTGATAACAATGGCACCACACATGATAAAGTTCTGTGAGTCTTTTCACAAAAAATCTTACGATTTGTCGTAAGATTTTGAGTTACGATTATCGTAAGTGAATTCGTAAGTCAGTTTCACGAAAGTAGTCGTAAGTGAAAAAATATTCGTAAGACAAACCTTAAGATTTTTCTTTACGAGCGCACTTACGATTTGACTTACGATAAAAAGCTTCCCTGACAACGACCTAATCGCATCTTGCGCAGTCGTAACACGCGTTTCCGGTTTCACTATCGTCTGCGCCAAACGTAAACAACATGGAGAAAAAAGACATGAAAAGGAAGCCAAATTGGTCTAACGACGAGATGGAGGCATTGGCCCAAGCAGTGGCAAGTAATATCAAGGTTGTGAAGGGGAAGTTTACCCCTTCACTAACAAATGACATGAAGAACAAGTGTTGGTTGGAGATAACCTCACGGTAAGTACAATACAGAAGAGACGTACGCACGTACGGACCCCCATTCACATACAGCATTTTTGACAGTAGTCCGAAATAATTAGACTCCCGTTAAAAATGTTTGACGGGACAGAAACCTGCCAATGATAATAAATGGAGAGTCAGTTATTAAGGACCAACCCCCCTTTTTATACATTTCTTTTGTAATTTGTTTACCACTATGTACAGTAACGGTTAGTCCACAGGGGTTCGTCACACGTATCTAATAGTAATACACATACAGTATGCTATGTATATGTGTAATGTGACCCAAATCAGTATAGCATATGTGTATAAGACATTTGTAACGAATCCCTATAGCTAGGCTACAGTAATACACCACGATATTTGTTTTTTTTATTTTTTTTGCAGCCCTGTCAGGGGTTTCCCCTAAAATGTGCAGTAGTCTATTTAATCAATAATGGACTGTGTTTCATAAGGCTAGGAATTTGTTTTTCATATTGATACAGTACAGTTATGAACAAACTCAATGGAGTTAAAGAGTAGAGGGTATTTGTGGAAGGGGGAATTAAGCATAATAGGGGCAGATCCAGATTTTTTCAGGGGATGTCACTGTTTTTTTTTATGGATATCTTTGTTTATTTTTAAATCTTTCCTAAGTTAGCTTAATAAAAGAGTAACTGAAGATTAAGTATGATCCTGTAAATGTATAAGTTTCTTGTAAAAAAATATTTCTAACTACATGAAAGTGTATCATAAAATTAAATCTCAGAATAAACTTTAAATGACTAAAAAATATAAATGTTCATTATCCAATCAAAATAAACTCCTAGTGCTAGTAGTGGTATTGTAAGTTGGTTAGGTAAGATAATCTCCCACAGAGTTATTCATTTATGCGTAAAGTGATAACTAATTTCCTTTTGCAAACACGTTTAAGTTCTTTGATTGTAGCACCTGTGCCCAAGGTGTGGTTATTATTATTGACCACTGACCTGCAGGTGCAAAAAGCTCTATCATGGTTGCACTGACCCATTAATTGTTGCTGGGATGGGCTATGAATTAGCGTCAACTATATTTTAACACCTAGTTTTACACCATTTGAGAGTCTTAGGTAGTGTAACACACACACCTATAGAATCATGCACCAGTCAAAAACTAAGGACAAATATTCAGGTAGAGATAACATATAGCTAGTGTCACATTGAATTTTAATTTAATCAAACCAGTTCATGCCAATTAGATTTCCAGGTTTACAATTTGATGAAAAGAACATTTCTTCTGTACCTTTTTTGCAATAAAATCAAATCAATACAAGGGGGAGTATTTTCTAAATTAACCATCAACATGTACATGTACTTAATGTGTATTCATTTACAATTGTATATATTGTATAACAAAAATTAATATCAGAGTAACCAGAGAGGTACATGTGTATATGCTACTATTTCTGATCTAACAAAAAAAACATTCTCTAAATTTCATGAAAGCAGGCAACTTAAATAAATTGCACATCTTTCGCTTGAGCTTTAGTTTTTATCTTTATATGGCCATGCTATGATTTAAGACTTTTTGGAATGTTATCTTTTCTAGATTTATGATGGAACTAAGGAAGCCTTTGGCCCTTTTTTACAAAACAGAGAAGTAATGTCATGTTGTTGAGAAATCTTACATAAAAAGTACAAAATTATAGCAAAATCACCACATTAATCCATATCACATCAGTTACTGACAACCCATAATGACACTACAACATTGATATGAAATATGATGTGAATTTAACTACACTTTATGATAAGTTGTACTTTAAACTTTTACTTTGAAATAATACAGATATATATAATATGGATTTTCTAAAATCAACACAAATATTGTATTATTTCTGTTTGTTCATGTTCAGTTAAAATTTAAAGTTATCTGGATAAATAACATGTATATTGATATTAATGAAATACTCAGGTAAACAATTTTAGATCACCTGGTCCAAAGGACCAAGGTGAGCTAATGCCATACTGGGGGTCTATCGTCTGTCCGTCCGCTGTCTTTCCATCTGCCAACAATTTCTTCAAATGACTTATTTTCCTTATCCGCAGTTTAGAATTTAACAAATTGTACTAGAAGCATCCAAAGGTGGTGTGGATTCAAAGTTGTACAAATGGAGAGGCTGACCCCCTCAGGGGCTGAGGGGCTGGGCCAGAAAGGATTAATTTGGCCATATTGCTTAAAACAACTTCTTTTCAGAATCTGTATCAATCATATTTGGTTGGAAGCATGCTAAGGTGGTGGAGATTCAAAATTGTACAAATGAACTCTCAGGGAAAGTGAGGGGCTAGGTTAAAATAATTTCTGACTTTGACATTATCAAGATCCAAATCCAAGTACACAATTGCTGAGCATCAACATGCCATCAATTAAGATATAAGAATTGACCCTGGGATCTGGCCTAACTCATAGGGACTTAATTCCTGAGCTATAACTTTGAAACAGTTGAGATCCTGAACCCATAACCATATATACCATTGCTGGGCATCAAGAGATAAACTAAATCATGATATTAATATTGACCCTTGGGTCGAGCCCCTCCTCAAGGACTTAATTATTTGTTCATAACTTTGAAATGGTTATGATCCTGAACTGATAGCCATATATATGATTGCATGGCATAAAGATTTAGGGGAGGGATACAGGCCCTTTGGGCCTCTTGTTAAAGAGTCATATGGTATAACCATATGTGGTACTCTTCTGTGTTTAGCATATAAGAAATAAATGAACTGTTTCAGAGTAAATGCTGCCAACAGCACTGAAACCAACAGAGATGTTGGTGACGTAAAAAAGAAGTGGCAGGATATAAGCAGCCTCACTAAAAGAAAAGAGGCACAAAGGATACGGGAGCGACAGGCTACTGGTGGTGGTCCATCCATGGAAGATGACGCAAAGCCCTGGGACAAATTTGTGAGTAACTTCCTGTTACCACTTTGGGTACTTAGGTAGGGAAATAGTCATATTTTGGCAAGCATATATACTAAATATTAAGTCAATTTTGGGGGAAATTCAATCTAAAAAATCAAGGGGGGGGGGGGGGATATAAAGTTTTGAGTCAGGGTATTTATTTTCAGGGTGTTGTCAAAATGTATATTTAAAAACTTAAATATGTCTTGATATAGATTATTGGAACATTTACAAGGAGTGCCTTGGAAGGGGTTGTCGGAGGTGTGGACACAGCTATGCAACAGACCAAAAAAGCATCGAGTCTTACAGCATTGGAGAAAGGTATGGAAACAACAAACATCCTTCTTTGTCTTTTGTTGGACTTTCTTAACAAAAATTATTAACAAATATTTGTGCACATTTTCTAAACATTTGGGGTTTATCTCTTCAAATTCCATCTTCTTCTGTGCCACTGGAATGATGTTTTTAATCCAAATTTGGTCTGGAGCATCCTAATTTGTAACGTGGATTCAAATTTTGTATAATTGGAGGGTGTGGCCCCTCAGGGTGAAAAGGGGCGGGTCCAAATTTATTTTGTTGCCAATGTGTTCTATTGCCTAAAAACAATCTTTTTCTTCAGAGGGTACATCGGTATTGGAGGCAAGTGAAGCTACAAGCCGGCTCTCTTTTATACCAGGTATTTATTATGTATATTGTTTATATTGTACATCACTTTTTTATTGGCGAGTATATTATGTGTAAATGGACACATATAATGGGTCCGTAAATTCAATTTCTCTCTTACCGGGTGTCAGATATTCTTTAAAATGGTTTATTTTGGTGTTCAGTTATGATAAGTATCTTATTTATAGTATTTTTTAGTATTATTGAAGAATTGTTTTATGAATGTTAATCAGTATAAGTTTGCTATTTCAAGTACATGTTCATACCTTAATGGTCATAATATTAATGTTATTACTGGTCTAACAATTACATTTTCTAATACATGTACTATAAAAAAGGGACAGCACTTGTTATAACATTTGCATTAAAAAAAATACCTAATCAAATCCTTGGATTTTAAAGGAGCGACAAAATGGAAAATAGAAGTAAACACAATTGGTACATTCTGTTAATCTTTAACTTCATTACTTTTCTACAGATAAGACATGCACAAGCTTAAGTGCAACTACAGAGGAAGAAGCAGCAGTCAGCAGTTGCTCAGGTAACAAAGCTTGTTTTTTAACTTTTTATACGACCGTCAAATTTGACGATAGTATTATGGTATTGCGTTGTCCGTCCGTCCATCCGGCGTCAACTTTGTTTGTCCGGCAATCTCCTCCTACATTTTTTGACTGATCTATTTTACAAAAGTTATTGCCCTTTGTTCATTTCAGTATTTTAATTTTGTCCGGAGATCCCCGCCTACATTTTTCGACCGAATATAGCATATCAGCTAACCACTCTTAGAATGATGCATATCTGATTCATTGTAAATAAGTATATAATACTATATGGCATTCGACGGGGCATATTTTGTTCCGCCCCGTGGTACTCTTGTTAGAGAACTGTTAGTCTCTATCTGTCCATTTATCTGTACATTTTTTTTAATTCTTCTAAACTGCCAGCAGGCTTTGTTGAAACTTCAAAAACATGTTATGTATACATAGCCTTTGTTCCATTTTCGGTGACATTTTCGTAGAGCATAATCCATCAAGTTTACTGTATTTTCCTGTTTAAATGGTGGCTTTTATATGACATCTTGTCTTTTCGCTTTTTCGCGTGGTGTCTTTTCGCGGACGACAAAGCGAAAAGACAAAATATCATATATAAGCCCAATTAGCTTAATTGCTACCATACCCCTCCATATCTGATCAAACTCCCCACCCGCCAGACACTTCAGTAATGGCTACCATGTGTGGTTTCCCATCATGTCCACCCCTCCCCATGACACCACCGCACCACCACCACTCCCCCTCCTCCTCCTCTCCCTCCCCCGGCGCCTCTTATATCTGATAATTTACCTCTCCTACATTTAATTGCTAACGTTTCTCTCTACATCCCATTAACTCCCAACAATATCTACAATATACATTACCTACCACCCGATGTATTTCCCAACAATGTCCTGTTTAACCTCATCCCCTCCCCAAACGCACACCCCTGATATATTTTTGAACTGGCACTTTAAAATAAATCTGTTAAGGCCTTCAATCATTTTCCTTCAGAAATAAATTTACTATTCAAACAAATGACACGAGACAAAACAATTAAAAGCATGTCCTTTATTAAAATAAGAGTATATGATTTTCGGTTTTCGATTAGAGGGGATTATCCGGATACGTTTTTAATAATAAAAAGGTGGGTTTACAGGTACGTTTTGATGAGGGATACAAATAATATATGACACCAAACGGGAACCTCAGACTATTTACAGTGAAAATCCATCTTTAGACTGTGTATAATTTGATTATATACTTAAGTGAATCAATAGATACAATTTGTTAATGAAAATAGTGGCTTCAGCTCCAAATATAATTGTTAAAAGGATAAAAAAAAGGTGTGTTGAACAAAGGGGTTACAAGACAATGAATGGATAAATAATAATAAATAAAGTGAAAAGTGTATTAAAGGTGGGATATTTTACTGTTTTATTGATATGTAGTGGATAACATTGACTGCAGTTAGGCCCCACTTTAGTCGCCGTGGACAGTCATACAATGGGATACAACTGGTCTAGTATTTCCTTGAATGCTTTGGTTTTGTTTGTTTGAGCTTTACGTCCTATTCACAGCTTTGGTCATTAAAGGACGTGCCAGGTTTTTGGTGAAGTAATGCTGGAGTTCCCAGGAAAACCACCGACCTACGGCCAGTACCTGGCGACTGACCCACGTAGGTCTCGAACCCGCGACCCAGTGGTGAAGGGCTATTGGTAGCAGAATTTCAGACACCTTAAACACTTGTCCACCGCGGCCCCACCTTGAATACGCACACACAAGTAGAAAAAAAGAAAACAATAGGTAAAATATATTACATCTACAGTTTCATTAGTAGATTGTGGCATTTGACTGAATAAAATATTAACAGTGTTTTTGTATTTAAGGTACACACATTAAAGCAAAGTCAACCGTAAATTACTTTATAAAGCTTCGGCATATCCTTTATTTTTTATTCAGCCCGTGTGGAACCTTGGTTTTCAGCTTCACGATCCAGTAATTTTCTCTTTCGCGGCGTTCCGGACCTTCCCAACTTTGGTTTTGATCAATGGCAATAACCTTCATGTCATCCAATGAATGATTTTTTTCCCTGAAATGTTTGTCTGCATGTAATTCAGATCCTGTTTTCCGGTGCTCCTTAAATCTGCTAGAAAGTATCTTACTGGTCTCTCCGACATATTGCTTTGGACACTTATCACAAGTGATTAGGTATATCACATTGACTGATGAACACGACAGACAATGATCTATGGGGTAAGTGTGTCCGTCGACCACAGATTTAAAGTAGTGTCTGCTTTCGGCGTTAATTTTGCAGAATTTACATTTCTTACTTTTACATTTCCGAAAACCAGGGATGGCGAGTTTACTCATCGCTTCTCTGATAATGTCGAGGTTGGTCGGCGGCATGTTCAAGGGAGGTATGTCCCATAACCCTGGACTGTTCTTAGTGTCTGATTCTGTATCGTGAATTTGGATGTCTTGTCCCGACGTTTTTTTGTACGTTTTTATTCGCTTTTTCAAATACTCAACTCTGCTAGTTAGTTCTTCTTTGTAATTGTTCATAACGTCTTTATTACTTGATCGTAATTGTTTGCACTCCTCTCTTAGTGAGGGAAATGCTTTTGAAAGACCATCACACACGTTTGAATTCTTTTCGATTTCGGCATCGGTCGATTTTATTTCCTTGCGAAAACGAGTCAAAACTTGTTCGAAATCTTCAATCGTTCGCGTTTTGACAGGAACCAAATCATGAGGTTTGTGTTGATGGTCGCGTGACGTCACACAGGTAGGACACATGTAAAACTTACAGAATTCGCACCTCAACCATACATCTTCCTCCTTGTGTGTCACACATTTTCTTCCTAGCGAATTTTGAGGTTGTTTTGCACTGTCTGCCATCTCACGTGTTTTTCGTATCGCACCTCGATTTGTTTTATTTTCCTTTACAATTTTTAATGAAAATGGATTGTCTATACACACAACGTATTTTTTGAACATTCACATGCAAATATAAACATGTAGTGTCTCTTCTACAAGTATCGTATACACAATATATATCACATATAAATCATCAGATATCGCTGTAGAAATCAGTCACTTTGTTAGGTGCGTTCCGTATCAACGTCCTTTTTATGTATTTACATACATATAAACATGCGTGAAGTTCATCCGGGTTATCACATGAACAGTAGAAGTAACACAGTCACCACATCATCACCATCCCTGGTAATATTCACACCAGTAATCAACCCTTTACTGGTATGTCTGTAGACGAGTATATATACCAAAACATCATCAGATATCGATATCACATGAACATATTGTAGCTATTTTATTGGCTAAATAAAATCAGCTTACATTGCAATGCAATATGATGACGTATACTGAGGTAAAGGTTATCGGGTTTTTTATCAGTACTATATATTGATGAACAAGGCGGTGCCAGTAACAAAGGCGGTACCGTCGTCCTATGCCTTACGTACTGACATGTTTTTTTTCTGCTTTATAGATTAGCCTTATGACAACAACGCCATCACTAACAAAATGTGCCATGTTTTTGTGCTAATATGAGTCGTTCATTCATCCCTATCAAATTTAACTGCAAACACAAATAATACATTTTTATGTTATCGTTCTTGCGCCCTGAGTGATAGTAGGTGCCCGCTAATGAAACGACCTTCCAATACCTACAGGAGCTAGCTACCCTATATCAGCCGTCAAAGTCACTGTTTAATGTATAATAATAATTTGTATGCCTTTTTTATCAATTATAACTAATACTATTATCCTTTTGATGTAAAGCACTTTACAGTTATTTTACAAGTTATATAGGGCGCTATATAAATATTGTGTATCATTAATTTTTATTATGAAGAAGAAATATTTAAATATTATTATTTTTAATGTAAATAGTCCTTGTTTAGAAGGTCGCTTTTCACAATTTATCTAGATGTGTAGAAAGTAATATTATTCAATTATAACCTTGGCTGAGGTCGATATCTGGATTTATCGACCCAAGAAAAGATATATTAACAGAGGACGCAGTCCGAGGTCAATATATCTTTTCTCTGGTCGATAAATCCAGGTATTGACCGAAGTCAAAGGCTACAATTGTTTTATTATTTTCAAAAACGTAATGTTAGCAATCTGAAAAAACACAGCAAAAAGCTACAGAAGCGGGACGATAAGTTCGTTTGGAGACACGTCATTATTCTATTTTTAGAAACACCCAGTCCTTCAACGAAAATCACGCGCTCCAAGTCAATATCGGTTTTGATCGGTGGACACGTGATTCACTTCTGGCCAATCACTTGTCGGGAATAATATGAAAAAAATAATGATAGTCATTATTCATATCAACAGTTGATTTAAACCCCTAAAATGACAAATAATACACTTAGGTATGATAATACACTATGATAATACACATAGATTCAAGAGTTTACGCAAAATGTAACAAATAGTTGGATTTGTGTGACTCATATATATAAAATGCCCGGGGTGTAGGGTAGGAAAATTCCACCAGAGGTGCTTTTTAAATTTGATTAAACCCAAGGCTTTTTGAAAATTCCTTTCTTATTCTGGACAGTTCTATCTTACAACCCCCGTTTGATTGAATAAAGTAAAAGAAGTGAGAAATATCTTTTCAAATTCAAAACGGAAATGCCGATTTCAGATTATTCCAATTTATTGATTTTGATACGACATATTTTGGATTGGTATTAAATTCACACTATTTTTCTATACAGAAAATGTCCAATATATTGTCTGTTACCTGGCGTTAATGCTCCAGTGATGAACAATTGGATCAAGTCGGATTCCATAAAATATATTCAGGAACTTTCATGGCACTTGCTCCACGGCGACTGACCGACTTTTGTATTGTTTTCATTTGAGGCTGATCGTATTAGAGAGTTTATACGGACAAGGGCCTTGTCAAGTCGCCTTCAGATATACCGACGGTGCATTGTCTCAAGATTACCAAAATATATTGACAACATCATTTCTTCAGGGCACAACACCAGATCCTGTGTGACTGTACAATGTGCAGTATTTTTGGATAGTAAAGTTAAGAAACAATTGAATCTCTCTGTTGACGTGCACGCTTTGTAAGAATGTTTAGGTGGTCGGTTGTTATCATATTATGTAGCTATGCCAGCCAATTCCTTTTCGTCCATCCAATTAAAGAATGATAGAATTTTGATTTTGTGCTGAAAGAATGTTGTGAGTACTGGAGTTAATGATATCTTTGTTAATCGTGTCTTTTTATGAAAACGACTACACAAATATGCATATTTTGAATTTATATATTTATAAGATGGAATAATGAGGTGTAAATCGAGTCTGTAATTGTCCGTACCTAAATTAGTGACCTTAGTTGATCACACATACCCTTTCAAGCACTTCCAAACGATCTCCCCCGTTACCCATCGGACAGGTACACAGAGGTATATCTATGATAAAGCGAATACTGAGGCGAAGGTCGTCAGTACGTGTCAATACTATCTGTTGATGTGCCAGGTCGCGCCAGTTACAAAGTCGATACCGTCGTCCCATATCTATATATTTACCTATTTATATTGTGATAAAACACTTCATGCTATTGTATCTAGTAAATCATATTTTACCTGTTATATGTTAATGGTGGATGGTTCATTCGTTGTCATACCAAGAAATTTCTGCGAATTCGAAATATTTATTCATACCTAATTCACCGTAAGCATTGAATTTGATTTTATTGAAGATTTGTGTTGATTTTATCCCAGCTATTGGTGGATCCATTGAATGATTACGTTAGTCAGCACACAAAACAAAAGCAAGCTGAATGTAATTCACTTTCCGGAATGATTACATATATCATCATCATAATTAAAAAAAGAATCAGCAGCTTAAAATGCAAATAAAACTTTAAAAAACTAGTATGATTTTGTTTTACCCCTGATGCCTGATACCACATGCAACGATCTGCACAATAAGTGCATGTTTCTGTTTTGGCTGATAAAACATCTTATACATTGGTCCTTGTCTATAAACACTTTTACATCACATGCACGCAAAACAAATCAGGCTCGTTTGATAATCAAACATAGCCTTCTTAGACATTTTCAAATTTGTCCATAGACGACATATTAGCATATCATGCTTCTATACCACAAACTTCGTGACGACTCGTTAATGATAAAGACACGGACCTGCCTTGTTTGTGATTGATTCACAACCTTCTCAAGATTAATTTTAATCCTTTTTTTATCACGAACTCTGCTAGTTGTTAACCCAGGCCAATATCCAAACTTTACTGCTGCTATTTTTAATTCCTGTAAATAAAGGATATTGGATGGCTTCCCTTTGTATAATTGTCCTTATCGTTTTAATTCTGCCTCATACAAAATAAAATTCATCCAGCGAAGATGCTTCAGCTGTATCCGGCGGTCTTCACGAGTTGTAGTAACTATTGGTCTACCGTTTCCTGGATTGTCGGACGTGGAGGCCTTTGAGTTAAACATTGCATTAAATGATTTACTGTTTTAGGCTACACACAAAAACTTTACGCAATGTAACGTTGCGCCCCCCATCCCTTCCTGGAGCATACCAACAGCTCATTTTCTCTTTCTGCTTTAG